TATTCCTAAACAACCAATACGAGTGATATATGAAAATACAGACATACGTCCTAAGTTTCTGTGAGTATGATTATGTAGCAATGTTATACACACCTACCTACGCACGCACACACATACATACACAATTCATTTATATACATGAAACATACTTGTGATTACAGAGAAGCAACATTGATTAAAGGCACTAGCACGGTTATGGTACCTTTGAAAATCACTATTGCTGGTAAAGAGAAACTCTTCTATGGTTTTGGTGTTAACAAAAAACAAGCTAAGTGTGCAGCTGCAAAACAAGCATTAAAAAGACTGCAACTCGAAAAATAATTAAGTTTTTTCAAGATTGTTTTACATTTATATAAATAAATGTTTATAAATGTTATAATAATATTTTTAGATTTATGAATATCAAAACTGATTATTTTTTTATATGTGCACAGGTCTAATACAATCAGAGAATGGAAGTAACTAGTTACTTGTTACTATTACCGTTACAAATTATCTTTTTTTGGTAAAAAACTGATAACGACTTTACTTTTTTTTTTTTAGTGACTGTAACGATAACGTACAAACGTATTTTTGTCATTACTTTTTCAACCTATTTGTGACATATGTATACATACTGATTATGTGTTAATATTAATGGATTGACTTGAAATATTGACGACAATCTGGATTTTGATTCTCGAGTAAGATTCTATCTTGCTTGACTAAGATTTATGTCACAGTGCCTAAGATCTATTTGATTCTACAAATGTTTCGAAGTTTTTTGATTGGTCAGTTAGTAAAATTCTTTCTTCTGATTGGTCAGTCAAATACCTTGCGTTTGTAGCGCCAAGTGGACTGCACCCAGTATGTTACAGTACAAAAAACTAAAGTGACAATAATACTGATTGTATAAGATTGCAAAAATACTAAAAAATATTGATGCATACTGTCAGTATTACTGATTCAATATTACTAATCACTGATCAGTATTAGTCGCGTTCAGCAGACTCAACTCTTGCGGAGCGTTGAGAAATTATTGGTGTATTTTTCTAAGTCATTTAATAGCAGTGAGCGCTCACGGATTCGCTCCGCAACAGTTGAGTCCACTGAATCCAATTACTATTAACTGTATAGGGTCACTTTAACGATATCATGACTCGCATATGACTACGCAGACTGACAAATGACTATGTTTGGCACTTGCCACTGCGCATTCGTCATATTGCATGGATAATCATGGTTTTTCTCGATTGTTCTTCACACAGATTGATGAGTAAAGTTGAAAACAATTTTTAAAAAGCCGCTGTTTTTCAAATTGCAGGCAGAAAATTAAAATTATTTTCTTTACGGAAAGAAACAAATATGGCAGATTTTACGAACACATGAATTTTTCCAATGAATTTTTTTTATCTTTAAAAAAGGAACTGAGAAAAAATCCATGAAAAAATATGAAAAAAATCGTTCTTTTTTTCGAAAATTTTCTGGAAAAAAAACGTTTTCCCATTTTTTCAGTTCTTAAGCATAAAAAATTTCATTTTTCAGTTTTTTCCAAAAATTTTTCAAAAAGGTTTTTTTCGAAAATTTTAAAACTATATAAAAAAGTAATAAAAAAACAACGATAACGATACTTCTGAAAATCGGTCAACTAGTCATGGTAATTAGTTATTTTTTTTATTTAGTAACGAGTAACGGTAACTAGTCACTTGTAAAAAGTAACTTTCTATTTTCTAAATACAATGAAATTTTAATGTTTAATTATGCAAAAATTAAACATCAAATTGTGATTAATAAGGCCCGATTTTTCATTTTTTAGTTAACTTGTGATTAAACTTATCCTGATGTTTCATCTAATGGACTTTATCTATGATGATTTCATGGTGAAACATCAGATTAAGCTTAAATTAATTAAATAATAAACACAAGTTAATTAATAATTAAATAATGAAAAATTGGATTTAAGTCAGATTGGAACTAAAGATTTATAATGTTTTAATAATCTTAGTAGAAACATCAATAAAGATCAATAATATCAACATGTAAAATCTAATATATATTTTTAAGTTATTTGTATGTTATACATTTATATGTATGTTTATACATTTTTAGATCCAATTTTTTGTACAAAACATTAACTTCTTATTAATTTTGAATTTTTGTTAGATTATAGATATTAATTTTTTTTTATGCTTAATTAATTTCATTATTTAATCAAATTCGGCGTTTATATACATGGGATGCATTCTGAAATGTGCTGACAGTACTAAATATATGTAGGATATATGTATAATGTAATCTATCTATTTTCAGTATTATCAGAAAACAGCAGCTACAGTGTCTCGCGCTAAGATTAGTATATTTCAGAATGTAGCCGTAATTTAAAAAACGAGTAATAGATTGCCTATAATTGAAAACGATAATAATAAAAACTCGGGTAACAGGGAATAGAAAATCATGCGCTAATTGAAAAAATTCTCTTAAACTGAAGATATTAACAAATTTTTGATGTTTTTCAACGCTGAAAATGATTAGAAGATTAACCGAAACATGTGATTTTTCGATTTAGTAAAGAATGTAAAATTTTGTTAACTTTAAAAAAACATACACCAAGTACTAAGTGCATAAAAAGATATCGAATACTACGAGAATAGGAATACAAAATTGGCTGATTGGATTTATTTCGAATCCATTTTTAATTAAAAGGAATGTAATATTTGATACCTTTTTATGCACTTAGTGTATATTTTTTCTTTTTTTAAAAAAGTTTGTTTAGAGATTTTACTACTTTTTAAAATTTTTGAAAATATATAAAATGTAAATCTTTTAAAAATAAATATGGGAAATCCCAAAAATTATTTTGTAAATTTATATTTATTTAATATTGAATACATTATATTGATTTCATTCATTTATTTTCTCTCTTTCTCTGTTCTCCACTTCTGCTTTCACTCTTTCTGTTTTTGGAATAGTCTTCCTTCAGACAATCATAATTTCATCTCTCTTAATATTTTTGAAGTTAAACTGTATAAACATTTAATTAATTTTAGTAATGTGATGCCTAATATGCTATAGGATACAAATCTAAATGTATCATAAATGCTGTGATGTGACTTGGGGAATACTTATAAATGGCAGTAATTAGTAATCGAACACTTGCGCACGTGCGCACACATATTTATACATGCTTATATTCTTGCGTTTACATGTTTTACAGCGATTTTCATTTTTACGTAATATTTGCATTAATAAATATCTTTGCATAAGTATAGTTCTAATCTAATGTTCAGCTTTATTTTTTATTTTATTTTAAATATGTATAATTGTAAAAAAAGCATTGTGAAAGCCCTTTGAACCAACTGGCTTTGCACGTGTGTGTGTACATGTGAGTTTGAAATTTGGAAAATAATACAAATGATATTTCTCGTGTAAGAGATCTTAACATCTCAGGATTGAGTGTACCGATTTTAATCGGACTCGTACCAATCGAAAGTTCGTATTTCGATTATATCATAATGTAGATTAATTGTAATCGTATTAGCGCACGATTTTCAGTGTCTATCTCTGTTCCTTCTTGTCTGGATTTTTATTATTGCAATTGGAGGTTGCGTTCAGTTTTGACGCTTTCAACACTTCTATCCTTATTTTACGTCTCATGAAAGACAGAATGATGATTACAAACACTTAAAATGCGTGAGCATCCAAACCGAACATAGTATAGTGGACCGAACTGTTCAAAGAGAAATGATGTTTAAATGTAAAAAATAGGTATGAATCGTAAATGACGATTAATATCTCTCTCCTGCTTTTAACTTCAAAAACTTTCTTTTTTGTGCCAACTGATGATTGATGTGTTATAAGTGCATGAAATTTTTGTGTATTATAAGAATATATCCAATATATTTCAGATTTCCGATGATTTTTTGAATTGTTCGTAGCAATTTTATTTTAATTTCTCTGATTTACATATTCTTTAATTTAATATAGATAGAAAAAATGTTTATCTTTATTCTAGGATTTCTAGGGTAAGACCTCTAAAGCTCCGTTTTTCATTTTCTGGTTAAGCTTAACCATAAGTTAATCACATAATGAAAAATTAAGCCTAAGGCCTACATTAAATGTAAAGAAAAACAAAGTACAATGAAAAGAATATAATATAAAAATGAGAAAGTGATGCAGCGAAATTACTGTAAGAAATCAAGGCTATGCGTAAATGTACATGGAGATATATTACAATTCTTGTCTACACGACGATACCAATCAAAGTGTAGTGAAACTCATCATTTACATCAAACACACATTTCTAAATACGCATGTATGTTTCGCGCCATTTTCTCTGTAGAGACCCTGTCTTTTAAAGACTCTGACAGACTCTGTCTTTTATACTAAATACAGTTACTTCCGAAATAAAAATCTATTAGATAAGTTATGTACAGGGACGGAGACTTTTGACTTTTCTGAGTTGTGGGGAGTCATCCAAACAGGGGAGGGAAGAGAGATTTCAAAATAATACAAATATTTTATCTTTTGTTATATGTGAAAATATATTTTTATACATATATACCCTAATAAATATTGTTTTTTTTTTCAAATTATTCAAATTTTTTTTTAATTTGTCAAGAAATTAATATATATTTTTAAATACTTCGAATTCAATATTCACAGGAACTCTGGGTATAGAAAGCTTCATTCCCTCCATAAGAAAATCTTTGTCTATATGTTATGTGCCTCCAATATCTACAGTTAAGATTTATATGTTTGCATTTATATGTTATGCATGCCGATTATATCTATAGAATAGAACATAGTTAGTAATGTGATACAAATCAGTTCTTTAATATACAATTAATATAGGTATCATAAGACTGTCTTTTCAATAATTATACATTTGTCAAATACATACTGAAAGATTAATATGTATTTATAAAAAAATATTTCGATGTTACAATTGAATGTTTATATAATTATCACATTAAGGAAAAAGTGAAATAAAAAGATGAGGAAATGCAGTATATAATATTTACACTACTTAATTCTCAGCTTTCCTCTTTTTCAAGGAAGGTCGATCAAATATTTGCTTCATCCCTGCCGCTTGATTATTGTGGAATTTGAGATTTTGAGCTGTCTCTGATATCCAAGGTGAATCAAACTGCGTCGTGTCCTGATCCACCAAGTGAGTGTATTTGGTTCTTCCGCTGCGGCCAAAGTTCTTCACCTGCATGACTTTTGGTAAAATCGTCTTGTCGAAATGATCCTCTAAAGTCGCACCAGAGAAGTCGCGCTTAAATATAGAGTCGTCCTTGTCCAAGTAGAATGCGCCACGATGATAATATTTCTGCAGGAATTTGTACTTTCCTTTGGCCGCTTTATTGGTGATCATCTTAGGATTCAGTCGTGCCTCCTGCCTTCGTTCCTCCTCAGTCATATTACGAATACGCTCGATCTCTAGACGTTCCTTCTCAAGCTGCTCCCTCTCTTCACGATCACGTTTGATCCTTTTAAGCTCGCGCAGCTTCCAAGCTTCGTATTCTACTTCGTCATTCTCGTCATCAGTACAAACATCGTTCAGCTTACTTTCCTGCTCGATGTTACCTTTATTGTTCATCTGTGTCTCTTTTCGCACTGACTCTTCTACCATTCTCAGAGTTTGCCTCTTTCGTTCCTCGGCTGCTTTCTTTGCCTCGGTTTCCGCTTGTTTCTGCCGCATCGCTTCTTTCTCTTTTTCCATCACCGTGATTCTATCCTTTTTGCGAACGAACACAGGTTTTAATCGCGGTCCAGTCTCCTCCTCGGAATCTGTATACTCTTCATATTCTGAGCTCTCTTCTGAGCTTTCTCCTGATCTATCTTCTTCCTCTCCTTGTATTAATTCCTCCTCCGTTTCCTTCCTGGACAATACGCGCTGCTTTAGGGCCTCTCGTCGTTTCTCTATCTCCGAATCCGATAGTTCCTCATCCTCGGATGAATCAGAACTTTCCAACTTGATTCTTTCTCGTGTTCTCTCTAACTCGATCTCGATAAGTTCGGGCTCGTGAATATGTCTGTGCCTCTCCGCGCGTACCTCGGTTGGTACTTCCCTTTGTTGGCGCGTTAATCTTCGCAAACGCGGATCATCCTCGTCCCTACCTCTTGTATGCGGGTGCAAAGTAACATCTGTGCCAACGTCATCGTCGTAACCCTTCTGCACACGCTTCTCGAGAAAATCCTCGTCCTCTGATTCCTCATCTGAACTTACTGCTGCGTAATCTGGTCGCTTACCAGAAACATAACGATGTACCTTCACCTTCTTCATAGACAACTCTCCTGTATACGTAAACAGTTTTTTTAGAAATGCTGATATGCACAGAAAATCTAAGTGACATCATAAATGTTACATATAACAATAAAGATAAATTAATATTCTTAAAATAAGATAAAAATAAAGACATTTTGTATCAAATAGAGTAAATATCTTCTCAGTATTTATAGACATGTTGTTCTGTATCTCCAAATATTTCACTCTAAATATCTTGTTTGTTAATCACTGTTGCACAGATAATTATAATCTAACTGTGAAATATGAATAATTTACAAATCTCTTAATAAATGTACGACTTTATAATAGGTATTAAAATAAATAAAAATAAAACATATGTATAAATCATGAAAGTATCAGAACTCAGGACTGATAAACAAAAATGCCAATTATATATTATTTTGTAAATTGTCTTCAATGTTGAAGATCATTAATAATTTATTACATTCTATCAATACTGCCTATTTCTACCAACAAAGTAGTTGAATTGTAATCACGCTTTCAATGACCCTTCATTTTTTTTTAATTCTAAGAATTAAAAAAGATAAAGAGAAAGTTGAATTAAAATAAAAGTTAATCTGTATTGATAGAAACAGATATGCAGCGTTTTTTAAATCTTAAAATGTTTGTGAAATTCGCTAAAATGAATGTTAAATAAATCTTCCATTTTGGCAAACATAAGCTAACCTTTATCATTCTTCACGGGCACAGCACCCGCGGTACTTTGTATCCCCATGGGTGCGGGTGCTAAGGAATTGTTCGTCACAAAATAGTCCATCATCATTTTGATGCCGTATCGAGAAACGTGTTACCGAAATACAAAAACTAAATACAATTCGAACGGGCTATTACTTCACGATCATTGATCATTCTCAGACTGACAACAAGAACACGAACGCTCTGTCTGAAGTCTGAACTTTGCTGAATTCGGAGCAACTCGAAATATCCTGAAGTATGACATTACAGCGTGGTCCACGTTATCTACAGTCGAAAAAAAGATTGTGTTGTTATCTACGATCGATAAAATAAAAAATTTATGTTATCGACTTTGATTATCAATTTCGATTGATTTTCGTCTCTCGATTAATCGTTTCTTCGTTCAAAAATTGTTAAAATAAACGCTTTGGATTGATACTAAAATATCGAGATATAATAAGAGTATTCTTTTTAATTGAACTTCTTGCATCTTTTTTCTTCAAGTTGAAAAAAAGAGAAAGATGAACTATACAAAAAGTAAAGAACAGCTGGTCTGATACTACTATATGCGATATATATGCGACGCTTTATTCTCGCTATTTCCACGATTTCTTTCCTCTTTTTTCCGCGTTGCATAAATAATAATGCTTTTCGTTCTTTTCCTCCTTGATATAATTTATATTGTAATGTAATAATTTTCAGAATTGTCTAAAAATTGAAATCGAATCAAGATTTTTCAAAGAAGTTAGAACGCAGCAATTATTTAATTGAATTTTGTAAGCTCCCCGAAAGCTCAGCAAAATGAATCCCTGGGAACTTAATCGGAGCTTGTGCTGTGTAGGTTTGACAATAATATACTAGAAAGTAGTGTCATGAAGTAGTCTACATCGCATTTCACAACTGTTTACGTATAAAAGTGGTTCACACTTTATCGAAGAGATATTTTAGAATGCTTAGTGGACATTCTTATTAGAACTGCTTTGGAGGTCCTGTACTATAGAGTCTATAATTATATATAATATATGTACAATAATAATATTATTATATAATAATATTATATATATA